ATTAACCTAATGGAACAACAGGTTTAAACTTATCAAATTTGTAAGAGACCATTGTAAATTGCTGGAATTTCTTATTAAGGCTTTCATATTAACGTGTGTATCTTTATTGGTAACTTGATGAGTGTAAATAATTTCAACATACTATGATGATTTCTGTCTTTAATACAGGACACGCCTTCTCCTGACAACCCACCCACATCTGTCAAAGAAGTACGGGTTGATATGATTGAGGATGTAACGCCAAAGCGGCCAAGAAGGACAGATCACACAGCGGAAGGGACTACGACTAAAAATGTGACTATATCGTTAGAACCTGCGGCAAAATCAGAAAAGAAATCCAATAAAAAAGGATCCATTCTGAAAAAACAAAAGCAGGTATCAATATCGCCATCAAACAAGAACAAAAAAAGCAAAGGCAAAAAGGAGAAAAAGGAGAAATCTGACACAAGTTTAACAAAGGCTGATAAGTATTACCAAGATAAGTTCAAACATGAGGGGGGAACATTGTCTGAATTGAAAAGACAACGACTGAAAAAGTTTCAAGAACATCACAGTGTGGATTCTGGTCTTGATGAGTCCTATCAACCATTACCCAGCAACTCACACAAGGATTCCGTAGATCTGCGTCATCAAGATAGTAGTCCACAACCAAAACCGTCGGCAAAGAAACCCGTCAGCCCAGTAGCGAAAAAGAAATCAGGTTCACATAACTCAGACAAAACGAAATCAGACAATTCTAAAAAAAATGATCAAGATGCAAATGGGATGGGAAATGTGACGACGTCGTCCAAATCATCGTCTGGGAATACAGTCTCAACGGAAGCAAAAGATCCCCCAATACACAGGTTTAAAGGTGAAGTGGAAGAACCCGAAGATGCTGAAAGGCCTGTATGCTGTGTGGTCATGTGACCTGATCACATGATATACACAGGTTCAAAGGTGAAAAAGAAAAAACTACATGCTGAAAGGCCAACATGTTTGTGTCATGTCACCACAAGCATATTCAATATTTTTTTTTCTTCTTTTCAACAGTTATTCTGTAAGTCATTGTTTTATATTTGTACAAGAGAATACTGTTAATAGTTTACACAGATTCATTTTTACAGACATTCTAAAAAGTGATATGATAGCGGCTTGCTGGATTTTGTATGTGTCCCACAGTTTTCACCTAATGTGCTAGACGTTATAAAAGCACTCAGGATAACTCCTCTCTAATTTTGTCAATGTAAAGGAATTATTCATATTTTCATAACAGGAATTTAAAGAGACATAGTTGTATTTTTGGCCCAATCTTTTTTTGGAGGGTTTTTAAATTTTGAGGCAAAATGATCCATACAGGCTCAAATTTGTAAACATAGGGTATTACTGGTTAAGATAACCTATTATTTCATTATACTAGTCTGGAAACATTGCCTACATTTTGCTTATAAGTGTCTATGGATGACAGTGATGTTGATTGGTTGATAAATATAGCACACTGCTAATCTGAATATGCTAATTTTTCAAACAATGGATGACAGTGATGTTGATTGGTTGATAAATATAGCACACTGCTAATCTGAATATGCTAATTTTGCAAACAATGGATGACAGTGATGTTGATTGGTTGATAAATATAGCACACTGCTAATCTGAATATAATAATTTTGCAAACAATGGATGACAGTGATGTTGATTGGTTGAAAAATATAGCACACTGCTAATCTGAATATAATAATTTTGCAAACAATGGATGACAGTGATGTTGATTGGTTGATAAATATAGCACACTGCTAATCTGAATATAATAATTTTGCAAACAATGGATGACAGTGATGTTGATTGGTTGATAAATATAGCACACTGCTAATCTGAATATGCTAATTTTTCAAACAATGGATGACAGTGATGTTGATTGGTTGATAAATATAGCACACTGCTAATCTGAATATAATAATTTTGCAAACAATGGATGACAGTGATGTTGATTGGTTGATAAATATAGCACACTGCTAATCAGAATATGATAATTTTACAAACAATGAAATATATCAGTTTACAGTTATATCATGATGTATACATATGCAAATAGCTGGAAACTGTTGACCTCTTTGTATATTTATTTGGTACCACAAATTTTAGCTCTGTATTACTTGTATCAAAAACATGGAAAAAGCAGTATATGGCCCTTTAAGTACGGTAACCCAAATAATGATATTTCACCACCTTGTATTGTAGATTTATTTTGCGGGTCATGGTTACTGTAAATTATTACATCACAAGTTAGAATGTACCATATTGGAAGGTTGTAAAATTTATTTGAATATAAAGTGTACCCACGAGAAGATGCATTGAAAAATAAAGTCTGATGTTGAATGGTAGCTATTATAACTGCCAAATATGCAGAGTACGTTGGAAATTATGTATTTTTTTAGATTAACTGTCAAACTTCTATACAGAATTTGTATTCTATTTGGAAAACATAAATATTCAGTGAGTTATTTCTTTTATTTTCAAATATTTTAGACCATTGATCTCGTTCTTTATTCTTGGGTCATGCCTGTGCAGTTTTTTTTTTTTTCAAACTTTTTACAAACACTCATCGTGAGTTACTGTCATTTGTTTCAAAATGGCAAACTGGAAGCCATATTTGTCTCATTTTTAAGTGTCCCTACCAATTTCTCCCATACTTTTGTGACCAATTTTGGATATATTCTCTTCAAATTATTTAAAAATTTAACCAATAGGCAGCCATTTTGACATTATTCCTTCTCACTTCAATGTATCCAATTATAGATGGAGAGGAGAGGCAAAGAACATTATTCCCATTTCTTCTGGTTTTTTTTTTACAAAATTTGATTTACATTTTCTTCTATGGTTCAAGCCAAATTCTAAATGACTTGCCATTTTCACCATACTTTCAATCAATTGGGTAATGGGACACCACTTCTTTGTTTTCTATGATGTATACGTTTCTAAATTCACAATTGAACTGAACTCTGAAACCAGTGCTATACACATTGTTGCCATGCATAACTGCTAATTATTATGGGCAAGGTTGCAATAGTTTCACTATGTTCCTAGTGTAAATTTCTGTAAGTTTAATCTGATCAAACATTTCAAGACAGAATAAAAGTTTTTTTTGGTTGCTGCAAATTTTGTATCAACTAGTTAATAATCCCTGGATGCAAAAGATTGACAAAAAAAATGTAGATTACAAATTGAGAATTTACTTAGAAAATAGTTTTACATATCTGTAAATGTACAAGACAAAATGAAAAGATATCCTTTTTATCAGACCTCAAAGGTGGATACAACAAAAATAGGCAGTCTTTTACTCTGCAAATATTTGCAGTATAAAATAGTATTTTTTTTTTTACAAGAGAATGATTTACTACTTTAAGAATTTACATTCATCTATGTGTACTTATTTCTTCTAAATGAAAAAAATCAATTGTAATCAACATGACACAAGTATGACCTTTCACCTCTGTTTCCATATCAACTATAGTAGGTAGCCATTTTGAATTTGTATTTTCATACCCAGTGAATGATGGATGTAAATTGTAAAGGCGAACAGTATTGTAAATAGTACTCTTGCATGAACAGTCACTTATAAATACTGTAACCACGGCAACAGATGTTCTGTATATATTTGCTTTTCCTCAACTCTGAAATAAATGACATTTTTTGCTGGAAACTGTTGTGTATGTTCAGTGTGTGAATAAAAGTCTATGTGGCATTCACCTGCCTCGATATTGTGGGAGGTTGGGTTGGTAACAGGAAAACAACT